TATAAGACTTCCGAAGTAAAAGCACTGCTGTATATGCAATTAGACGATAATAAAATTATATACCACATTACAATGTAATAGTCAATAAAGCTTCTAGAATGTTAGGTTTCATAAGGCGGTCGACTAAGTGTTTTAAGAATGTGAAGCCTAAAATCATACTTTACAATTCTCTTGTCCGTAGCATTTTGGAATATGGTAGTGTTGTTTGGAACCCTCAATATTCTGTCCATGTTGACAGAATCGAACGAATTAACCGCCATTTCTCCAAACATCTATGCCGATTAAATAATAACATTAGCTATAAATGCGAGTATGAAAAAAGACTAGCTTTCTTTCACTTACAATCACTCCGCGATAGACGCCGCCTTATCGACATTATATTTGTTTTCAAAATTTTAAATAACTTGGTAGATTTACCTAATGTTTTAAGTCAAGTTAACTTCCTCTTAAAGAGGAACACAAGAAAAACTTCAATCCTTTTTTACGTTCGGGCAGTGAGGACCAACGTCGGTTGTAATGCTCCTCTACACAGATCTCTATCGACATTAAACGACGCTCTGAGTACATGCCAAGCAGATCCATTTAGTGACAGTCTCCATGTCTTCAGGCGTAAGATGCTGCAGCCAATGTTGATCCGTGACCAATAGTGATAATTGCAAAGTTGAAAATTATTGTTTTTTATTTATATGTATTTGTAAATTGCATGTTTGTATTTTTTTTAATCTAGTTTGTTTTTTACTTTCTCTTCATCATTGTAATGTTTCCCTATAAATGTTGTGCACACTTGTTATTGATGCACATGCATGTATCTTGTTTTCTATGTTATGTGTTCTCTGTAAGTGTTTGTATGTGTTTCGTTAGTGTGCCTTTTGAAATAAAATAAAATAAAATAAAAAAATATTTTATTTATTTACATACGTATAATTTGTAATTACAATTTTCTTAACCTACAATGTAATAATAAAAAGAAAATTAAAACAAATTTAAAAAATTTTGGTCCCTGTGGCAGTGTACCTTTAACGCTGGCAGCATTTCCTCGCGGTTTCCTCAATACTTATTCGTTGACAGGAAAGCACCAGCTCTGGGGTCACCGGTACTATATACCGCGCGCCAACTTAAATCTTTGATAAGCGCCTGTGCACTTTAACCCCACGCCTCACGAGTCTCTTCCCAAAGGGAACAAAATCGAGGTTGGAGGAAAGACTCTTATATTTGTGCCGTTTATTATCATATATTTTTTCTACGATATAAATATATTTTACAAATTAAGAATTCTATTAGCGTCCCTGATGTTATGGACTTGAACAAATTTCACAGAATCAATACAGACTCAAACGTTAAGAAGAAACCAGCAATTTTAAGTATCAAAAATCGATGTGTGTGACCGAAACCGTTCCTCATTAAGTAAAGAAAAATGATCGTTAAAGCCGATACAGAAATCTGTACTTTATGTTTCTATCATTATTTTTAATAACTTCTGATATTTCAACCAACAACCATTCTTCAATAAGTTAACGTCATCATAGCTTACTTATTACATATATAATTATATAAAGCATCTTTCTCTGTGTAGGAAAATGTTAACCAGCGGCATGTGCTTCTTCCAAGCTTCATACGGTTGGAAATGAAATCTGGCAGTTTTTTATTGAATAAAAAAGTACAAATATATCGTTATAACTTTAGATAAGTCATAGATTTATTTATTTATAAGTTATAAACAACGTGTATGCATAAAATTATACAAGAAAATATGACATCACACATCAAATTGGCCTATAGTTGCATACGTTAGATTTGTCTCCGGATCTATATACTGTTATAAGATGTGCTTATTTCCATAGATGAGGAAAGATACCCAATAATTAAGATTTATTATAAACAATTGTTAACGGCAATGAGAGAACATCATAACTCGATTTTGCGGAGTGTGACGGGATTCCACCTGGGCCTGGTCCTTTATTTGGATTTCACATTTTAGAATTTTACTTGTTTCCGTGACCTGTACTTCTATACTGTTATGCATTAACTGAAAATTAATAACTATATATTCGCTGATTCATAAGAAAAAATTATATTAGGCTGAGAAAATGTATTGGATTCATGTACAGTGGAAAAATAATCCGCAAACATTTCACAAATTGGCGCACTCTCGATAGCCACTTTATGTTTAACACAAGCAGGGATAGAGGAGATTTTAGTTTAATTTTTAGTGTTTTTCCAAAATAATTTACAATTTCCAGAATTTAAGCTTGATTCAATATTAGCAATGTATTTCGCAAAACGTTCTTTTGTTACTTTTTTTACCGTAACAGGGAAAAGGTATCATAGTAATGGGGATTTTTGTACTTTTAAAATGTTGTACGATATACACATAAACATTTAATTACTGAGTCATTGAAAGAAATCGGGATAGTTGAGGTAAGTTTTCTTTTAAGCGGTGTTTAATTAGTGATTCAAGAGTTCAAGGTAGAATAAAATGTATTAAATAAATAAAAAATAAAAAAATGTGTTTATTCGTTTGACAACAATTCATTATAATGTGTAAGATTTGGGAACCCTTTTAAGTAAAGAAATATCTGTGTCAGGGTTCCCAGCTCTTCCATAACATACTTAATAGTAAATTCCATAAAAATATATATAATAAATATATCTTTTTTAATTATTTTTGTTTTCTCAACACGCCTGTGTGCATGAGTGAGTGTGTGGTGCATGTCAGTGAATGAGTAAGTGAGTAAGTGAGTATTAATATCTTCGTTTACATTAGTTGATGAGAGCAATAAGAACAAAAAAAATAAAATTAAAACTAAAGACCACAAAGAATGTTCTTAGTCCATTGAAATGTTACATTTTTTAGGCCTAACCTTGCGTTTTTTAGAGGACGCAATTTTATTTTTTTGATGTGTAGGGGGGGTCAGTGTAAAGCTAAAACCAAGTTTGTGGGGTCGCCACCCTTGTCCCACGGCCGCCATCTTGAAAATAGTGGTTGAAACGGTTTTTATGATATATCTCTTAAACTATTTATTTGATAAAAAAAATTTGTTAACATTTTTTGTTGCAAATTAAATTCTCTACAACTTTGGTCCAGTAACTTTTTATCGTAAAACTATAAATAAAAAAGTTATAAGCGAAAATCTTCAGAAATTCGAGAAAAAAATTTATATTTTTCGATATAACTTTTTTTTAATCATTTTACGAAAAAATAATATCAGACCTTTTTTGTAGATCGTTTTTTGGGGAACAACTTTTATTTGCATCATTTTTTCATTAAGTTAATAGCTAAGGTTTTACAGCGCTCCGATAGTCCATTGAAATGTTACAATTTGAGGGCCTAACTTAACATTTGTTAGAGGACGCAATGTTATTTATGGGAACTGTAGGGGCGGTCAATACAAGCTTAACCTCAAGTTTGTGGGGTTGGCGTGCTTGTCCCCCGGCCGCCATCCTGGAAAAAGGGGTCCAAAAACCAAGTTTTTGGCTATATCTCCTAAACTATCCATCGTACATAAAACTTGTAATGACACATTTTGTAGCAAATCGCTGTGTCTACAATTATGTCTCTTTATGTCGACTCTTTAATTATGTCGAAGATTACCATATCAGCAAGTTGTCTGTGGAATAGGCCTACTAGGAATACCAATAAGTAAAATTGTAGAAATAAAAAAAAATAAAAAAAAATGATTTAGAAAATTTGTTTAAAATAAACGAGAGATCTTAAAAGTAAGGTAAAACTGCTGTTTTGATCGGCTTGTCATGAGCATTGACGCACCTAGTCAACTTTAGAAATAGGAAATATTTTCACTTTTTTACTTATAACTTTTAGAATTTTGGATTTATGATAAAAAGTTACATAAACATAATCGTAGACACAGCAATTTGCTACAAAATGTGTCTTTACAAGTTTTATGTACGATTGATAGTTTAGGAGATATAGCCAAAAACGTGGTTTTTGGACCCCTTTATCCAAGATGGCGGCCGGGGTACAAGCACGCCAACCCCACAAACTTGGAGTTAAGCTTGTATTGACCCCCCCTACATGTTCCATAAATAAAATTGCGTCCTCTAAAAAACGCAACCCCAAATGTAACTTTTCAATGGACTATCTAAACTGTAACCAAAACTATAATAAGTAACTGTAAGCTTAATCCTAATCCTATCCTAATCCTAATTGCATTACCTAGTAACTTAGACTAGTACAAAAGCTTTCGTTATCAAAAAAAATCCTTTGATATGAGATAAACTTAGTATATTGTTGTTTCTTTAAGATAACTTATATGAAACTTTGTCCATACATTTCACATGACAAAGGACGCTAAGTTTCCAGTCATTGTCACAGTATCTCGTTTGAACAGAGCTTGTACCGAAAACAAGGCAAATTGAAATTCTTCTGTTGAAAAGTTTTATAATATTCAGGATTATGTCTTATCTAGCTCGCAGGCTAGTACCGAATAATTTGTGTTTTTGTTCGCTATAATTGTTGGACATTTTGGATACTTTAGATCGTGTTTTAAAAATCGTGTAAAATTATTATGTTGATACGAGTAATGGCCAAAGTCCTTGTATCCGACCAACAAGCCTGCTTGGTAAGGCAATAGTGCCGCTGTCAGATGTCAAATGCCAAATATCAATTGCAACAATGACGCTGACTAGTGTTATTTTCTTTTAAATGAAGTAAAAATTGTGAGGGTATTTTAAAAATACATATTAATGAAATGTATGATGTGATACTTTACTACATATCTCAATGAAACGGGATGTGTTCTCCCTTTATGTGACTATAATGTTTGTGGTTCAGCATAGCGTTATATAGTAAAGGATGCATTTCATATTGGGATTCGCTATTTACTAGGTAATCTTAATAATACTTCACAAACGATACAGCTGTCAGGTTTCACATAGAAATGTTGATTCCTTTTACCACAAATTATTTCATCTAATACTATTCAATTTGTTTACAGGTCCGAAGAGTCGGTAGCTCAAAGGATGTGTAACGGACACTAGCCATGAGTATGGCTCTTCTGTTTGGAGCCTTAGGGGCCTTAGCCTTCATTACTAGAACTGGTAAGTGATATCTCCTAGACCTAGCTTCGAAACTATAGAATTAAGATTATTAATCGAATACATCTCAAAATATCGCGAAATACTTGCTTTCAATTAAATTCAAATAACACCGTCACATGATTATACTTATACTTTATTTATTAATTTTACATAAAATATTAATAGAAAAGAAATATTTAAAGCAATATTATACTTCGACTGTTACTTAATGGTGGCTAACTTAAAAACTAAGTTGCTGGAATCAGCAAGTGACAGCTAAGTTGGGTTATACATACATACAATAAATGAAAACGTTCGATTTATATCTAAACAATATTTTTTTTTAAACTGTGTGCTTTATATATTAAGCAGGCTGGTATAATTTAGAATTTGAATTAAGAACGAGAAAAGAATTTGGGAAGTCGTTGAGAATAATGGAGTGCCTTGATTAAAGTGGTCAGGGCGTAATCCTACTGATTTGGGGATTGAAACGCTCTACTTTATTTCAGTTTTACTTAAATTGGGGTATTTTTAAAGTATTTGTTTTTATTTTACATCGTATTTTTTGTATATTTATGAGGCAAACATCCAAAAAAGTTGTAACACCACTTATTAAAAATAGCTGTATAGCAATGAGAGCGCGGCTGGTACGTTTTAAGGTGCATCCACATCTGGCGAATGCGCCGCGAATGTGCAGCTCGCAAGCTGATTGCGAGCTGCGCGCGTGCAGTAACGGCAATGATTATGTGCGCCTCTATAGCGTAACTCATGCAAGGCTCGTATAACTGTGCGCACTCAATTCTCGCGCTTACTGTTTCATTTACTGGCGCCGTCCGCGCCGCCCGCGCACTGATCGCGTACCGCGCGCAGAAAGACGCGAGCAGCTAGCGCGCCGCCCGCGCACTGATCGCGTACGGCGCTTAGGTTGCGCGCGAACTGCTGGCGGGCGGGTAGGAGCGGCATATTCGCCAGATGTAGACACACCCTAAGATTCAGAGTGTTCTTAAAAGAAAAAGATGGCAGGTCAAAAGTTTGGTTTGTACTGTGTAAACACTGTAAACTGATGAAATTTAATTATCATGTATTGTGATTTTCACACAAAATGCCCTTTACAACATCGGTATGAAATTTTAGATTACAAGTCAATTATGAAAATTATTTGCATTGTTGATTCAATTAATATTCTGTTTACACAACTTTTTGATTAAACAGAATATGATAAATTATTATTGGTACAGTATTTACGTTAGAGGCGATGTTATTAAAATTTCTCTATCATCATCATATCAGCAATTACTTTAATGACTAATTATAGTTTAATATAATAGAACATGGAACATCGTAAATTGAGGATTCAACCCCCGAAAAAAAAATCTAAGGTTCAGATCCCCAATTTACGAATTCTAATTAAAGACATTAAAAACTTTACACTCTCGCTTTTAATATTTCACAGTTCTTTAAATTAATATGCGTAATTTAATTATGGAATGTGTTTTGATATAATTTTATTTACGAGAAGGAACATTCAAATTTAACTAAGTTCGTGTAAATTCTACAACGTTGCCATTTTATCGATTATTTGTTTTAGTTAGACTAATAACATTATTTATATTATTAAATATTAAATCGGGCCTGTTACATATCCATTGCACTCCCTTTGCCCCGCATAACCAATACCTGTACCTGTTACGCAACACCGTTATAACAGAGACCAGTAGCTTTTGATCGGATACCTCACATCGGACCGGTCACTTCTCAACTAGATAAGTTTATAATATAGATTATTTGTCGTGCACCATATATCGGGCCGATTAAATAGTTATATTTAGGTAAGTCTCATTATTGTAAAAGTAATTAATTAAAGTAATTTAAATACATTTTAGTTTTTTTTGGGATTCACCGCTGGCCCTCACTTAATTGGCCCTTTGCAAAATTGTCGTAAATCGTAAGATAATTAAAAACAAGATTTTTTAACAATGAAAATGAATAAAGGACGATTGTATTTTGTAATGATTTGTAATTTTAAATAACAAAAGAAATAAAACAATTGGCAGCGTGACAAAATATATTTTGTAAAATGTTAAAATAACACAATACATGTTTTTAAAAAGTTCAACGGTAAAAATTTACCAATCAACAGAAAATAAATAACTGCCCATTAATTTAATAATATTCTTGATATAAATAACATTTGGAAATATCTCTTCTATAATTTTTGATGAAAATAAATCACAATTCAGTTTACAAAAGCGAAAAATTGATTTTAACATCGTAACTGTGATAGTGATAACTGGATTTAAAATAAAATGGGCGACAGGCATGAGTTCTCACGTCATTTAATTGTGTCGATTTTTATTGTTCTAGTTTACACGATTTCGAAACTAATATACATAGGATTTTTTAGTTTTTACTTTATCTAGTTGATGTTTCTTTTGTGACAGTTATACTCTTATTTCGTTATATATGTCAGAGATTAGGTTATAATAGAACACGGTGTAATTTGTTTGATTACAATGACAACACCACGCAATATCATAGACATCTTACTGGTTGTAAAGTGTCAATGTGTCAATTGTCAAAGTCAAGTTGTCAGTAGTGCGTAGAATCGGTCGTGAAGAGCTTGAGTTGCTTTCCGATCGGCGCTTGCGCCGTACGTGCGCACTGACTGTGTTTAAATATTAAGTAGTAATGTCGGACGACGGTAGTGATACCAACTTTGTAATTATTAATCGCGTTGAATCTCCGACATATGATAATTGTTTTTAAAGTGCATTTGAACCGTATAGACTTAATGTGAATGCATCCGACCTGCAACGTAGTAGAAATAACGTTACGTTAAAGTTTTATACGTTGAAATACTAAGTTTCATAATTGCTAACCAATCACAAAACCGGCGTGTCATAGACACAACAATCTAAATGTCAGATACTAAAGACTAATCTCCTAATAAAGAAATATTATCAAGTAATTACAGAAATATGAGGACAAGCCGCCACATGTTCTTTGCGTTGAACCGCCATCGAAATCGAGGTTTTAATTATGAGTATGCTGGTGGAACAATGTTAAAATCACGAAGTTTGTAGGCGATAGGCATCCCTTCTGTTTAGTTAGGGCAAGACAATATTAAGATAAGTCAATCGGTTAAGAACTTTGGGATGTCTACAACGAAAGGGCGTTACTCAACGGTGCTTATAATCGCGGTATAATTAATTACATGCTCTTGTTTCTATTACATAATTAGCTATGCTGTTAAGGTGTAAATAATTTATATTTTAAATCTACTTGTGTGTAATTTATATTGCTGATAAATACCGTGGTACAATGAAAATTACACCGACAAGATCCAAATGCGTGATGATGCTTGTATTATTTTTCTTCTTGCCTCTTCAATTACTGAAAATCAGCAGTCAATCTCCGATATTTATCTTTATTTGCCAAAACAATTGACCCCCGTCCAAGGCCAGATAACCTTTGTAATATTTCCATATCAATGAATTATTTATTAAAATTTATTTACAGGATGTACAGACAATACAAATGGTCTGGGTCAAGATGGTGTACCAGAGATAGAGTATACCGACATTGACCTTGGGCTGACGCAGAGAGGCCCTTACTTTGACGTCCCCTACTCGAAGAACGTCACTGCCCTAGTGGGGAAGACTGCACAACTCAACTGTAGGGTTCATAACCTCGGAAATCGAACAGTAAGGATTTTTGTATTCATTTTCAAAAATCGAATAAAAAGCATTTTTGTTATTTACGAGTCCATTTTTAAAAACCTCAATAGTGACTATTTATTACGAAAATTTGGATGAAAAAAGTTGTTTCTTTAGAATGTAGGGTGCGATACCTATCCAATTTTAAAAGATAAACTGATTATATTAATTATGTTACTAATATAAAATAATGAAATGCGACTTTGGTTTGTAGCTTTTTGAAAAATTGTGTCGTTGATGAAATTTATTTATCTATAGGTATCATGGATCAGACATCGGGACATTCATCTGCTGACTTCTGGGAGGATGACGTACACCTCAGACCAGAGATTCATCAGTGTTCATAACCCACATACAGAGGACTGGATCCTTAAGGTAATTTACAGTAACAGAAACCAGCTGCCACTGTTAACTTAATTTCACATAAATATGACTTTTTTACTTAGCCTACCTTTTTAGTAGCTACATACCAACATATGAACCATTTTTCCATTATGCCCCATAGACTGTTTGCTTTTTCGAAATAAAAATTGGATGATAAGTTTTTCCGTTCAATTTCTCCATAAAAACAATTCTCAGAGTTTAACAAATATATTTAAAAAATATCCGAATTATTCCTGCCGTCTTCGAGTTTTGTTTTTAGCAACATGTATTGCGATTCAATTTTATTTATATAGACAATAAACTTTCAAGATGTTAAGTCTGAAGCCAAGACTTTGAGGTAACAGCGCCAAAAACACGTAATTTCCAATTTCAATAACAATTTCAAGTAACTTTGAATTACAACAATAACTTAATTGTTTTATAAGCCCGCGATGGAGCTCTTAATCTCATAATGCTAAGTCAAATTATTTGTGGTTTAAGAACAATATTTCTATAGTAGATAACCACATCCAGTACTTTGTATTTAATTTGAAAATAAATAATTTCTCGCTCGTTATTATTACGTAGCAAAGTCACTTTTAGATCTTTAAAATACTTAACGCATTTTCATTTGATACATAGAGAGGAGTTCAAGAGAAAGATATATTATGTAATATTAGTAGACCGAGGCGAATCGGATCACTTTTTCTTTGAGGTTGAGCAAATCATACTAAAGTGTTATATAATGTTATTTTTATTAATAAAATCGTAAGAAGTAACAATTAGCTATGCAATAAACATTTGAAAACTGAAATCGTACATATATTCTCTTAATTACCTATTAAAAACTAAAAAAAAGGAAAATATCCGAATCGCCCCAACTTTCGGGGTGAATCGGATCGTATACAACATATAACAAAATTTTAAGGTATAGTGTTAAATAACTTGGGAATCAGTAAAAAGTTAATAATGAGATTAATTTTCACATATATATGGTCCTTTTTTTCAGTAAGCTCGTGAACGGTACTGAAAAAATCTTAGCAGCTTTACGTAAGGTCAACTCTTTGTTCTAGACTTTATTTACAGCCTCTTTAATTTTTTTTTGAGACCATTCTCCGGCATCAGTCTTTCTCTTGTACGTGCGAACCATCTACAATGAAATAAATATGAATCAATAACCTCAAACATGTAATAAATCAGTTTAAAAGTATGATCCAATTCGCCCCTGAGGATATGATCCGATTAGCCCCATAATTAAGACTTTTGAAATAAATATTTTAGACGTTAACCTCTAAGATTATACTTAAAAGCGAATTGGTTCTTTAATATAAACACCTTGCTTAATAATATAAACCAATGTAGTTGAATTTTAAGACAAATCCGTCATATGACACAAAGAAATCGTAAGTACGTACCTTAGATGAGCGCCAAATTGCGACACACACAAAAAACCGAGTGGCTGACGAGCGGCATTGCCACTGATCCACAAGCGCGATCGAAATACTGCTTATGTCGGGAGGTGCTCAGTAATTGGAGAGACACAAAACGCCGGTTGAGTGCGTTCTATGTGAATGTGATATTTAAATTATCAACAGATTTCTTATTTTGATCCGATTCGCCTCGGTCTACCTATGTATCTTTTTCTTTAACAACACATCTATAGTATGAGTTCGTCATATTAAACTACGATTTCCTGTAAAACTTTGTTCGGGACGAAAAATCCTTATACAATTGCCTTGTTAATCATTTATTGCTTAGTTTAATAGTGAAATATAAGTAGTTCTAATTTTAATCACCTTAATTTAAATATGTTTTTCTCACTAAGTAAGAAATTTTATTTTTTGTGTATAACAGGAAACTATAGTGAAGTTGCCTGCAATGATTTGTTATAAAGACACCACCCGTAGTCCATAATCAAAGCGTGCCTTCTAAGTGATATATAAATACAATATAACGTCAGTTTTAACAAGTTGGCTCTTTACAACGCTTAACGATGTCAAGAGTTTTTAACGCTCAAATGCTTCACCCTAACAAACGTTGATACATTGAGTTTCTGGCGCGGGTCCAAAGTTTACCTGGTGATTACCATAAACAAATGTTACAGATAAGGTTTCCGCAACGAAGAGACTCTGGTATCTACGAGTGCCAGGTCGGAACCACGCCACCTATCGGACATCGGATGTACCTCTCTGTTGTTGGTTGGTATTATATCATTATACTCTTAAAATCTATAAAAGGCTAACCGAACAGAAATTTAAAAAAAAGCTGTATACTAATCATGAATTTTGTTCGACATTTATTTATTTGTAACAAAAAATAATTATACTAAAAATATTGTCAAAGATGGATTATATATTATCTAGAAAAGGTTCAAACATTTACAAAACGTAGGAAGGAAATCGTTAAAATAGATTAAATACTTTTAACTAAGTCTATCTAATTCGGGTGTGTTGTGTGATGGTGTTTTAAGGGTATGTACATGTGTGCTCATGATGCAGGCCAAAACTTTGTTTAGAATTGCGTGCGATACTACTAAAGAATAAGTGGATGCTATTTTTTGTGTAATATCTTTTAGTAATATTTTAATAATTTAAATCAAAATTTTGTTATCGGTTTTTCACAATTCAATAAACATTTAGATTTTTAATCGCCTTTGCTTATAAATGTAAGGGGGGGACAGCCTTCGATTCTCTAAACCCCCCTCCCCAAAGGGGGGGGCATTTTTTTTCAAAAAAACCAAAACCCAAAAAGCCCGTTAAAGAACGATAATAAAGTTCTAGTTTATATTCATTCTAATAAATATAAACACAAAAACGGTATATCTTCATTTAGTTATTACTACACCCATTCTCACTTTATTAACAATTTAACAGAACCGCTAACAACAATACTGAATGGACCAGAGCTGTTTATCAACACAGAGAGCACAATTAACCTCACATGCGTTGTACAACACTCGCCGGAACCACCTCCAGCTATTCGGTGGACACACAATGACGAGGTAATGAAAATAATATACGTTGTTAAGTAAGAGTGTTTATAAAAAATAAATATAGTAAGTTATTTCGGCACAACCGGTTAAGATGATTTTAATTTTAGTCTTTGGAGAGCTGAAGTTTTATATAGTCGTAGAACACGCGAAGTGTTGTGGAAGTAGAAGAGTCCCTTGTCGAAGGCCAACTGTAAAATAGCATCAACTTGCAGTTTATGAGCATGGAGAAACTATAAATATTTTATGATACCTAGTTTGTAATATAAAATTTATTTATTTTTCTTATATAAAAGACAAAAGCTATATCATCATTATCCAATTATTTATTAATAGATCATTGATCACTAACATTGCTGTCCATGGGTTGCGGCAGCTGTTTATGGGCTCTTCGTAATTTCGATAAAGGAGGTCATGCTTTTATATGAAAAAATGGAACGTAAATCGTTTTTTCCCAAAAATTCTTCCCAAGTGAAATGTCATTCTATATTTGAAAACCGAATTGAGCAACACCCTTAAGCAGTCGAACTAGCAGAAAATTATGCAATCAGAGCCCGGGAACCTTCGTTTCGCCCACTTTTATTTACCCCCTTTGAACCAGTGCCAAACATCGGTCTGCCAGAAAATAAAATTGATTTGACCATTGTTCAACCGATGGCCTAGTTCTAAAGTCGCCGTGATATTGATGCGTCTAAACTTGTCTGATAAAGGACAACCGTTGAAACTGTCTTTGTCACCTGTCCATTCATATTTAGGAGGAGCGAAAGATGTATTGTTAAGGTAAAATACTCTAGTAAACTAGAATAAATGATAACTGTCTTTTGGCCGTTTCGGTCACGTCGGTTTATTAAATGCGTCAATGACGCTAAAGCAGTATTGTGTGCGCAGATAATAACTATTTTATAACATATTCCGGTAGACTGAATATGGGAGGTGACCGATGTGTTGAGGGATTAAACGCAGAATTCTGTAATGTATGTGTAATTTTCTAGCTTTTAGCTAAGGCCTATTATAAGATCCGATCCTAGTAGTGCTTGGATATGATTTGCTCCAGTATAAAAAGGTAACGCGACTGAATCTCTCGGCTGCATTTCCAGACTCGGGGGTATTTTTTATTATTATTATTAATTAACTATTAATTACTTAAGATGTCATGTAGAACATGGTGTAATGTTTGCAGCTCCTTACAAACATTTTGTAAAACAAATATTGGCGATTAAAAAGAGTGGCGGAGAGTTTATTGCCAGTTCTTCCCGTCCGTTCTACGCCCTTGATTTGAGAACTGGCAGTAAATGTAAAATTAAAAGGAATTAACCTTCTTACGCATTAAAAGTGTTTGTTACGAACAGTAAAGATAAACAAACAGCTTGACGATTGCTTTTATCTTCAGAAATTTACTAATTACCCTAAAAGCTGACAAAATTCATGCCGATAACATTTCTTATATTATTTTACAAGGAAAGATGACACAAGTATCACTTATTTAATTGGTTGCAGAACATAAGGTCTCTGTTTCGAATCCCGGGCTGAGCCGCAAAACAAAAACCATTTTGATTTTAGTAAGAATAAAAAATTAGAAAATTTCAATGCTCTAGCATTGACATAGTGACGCATCCGACATAGTCGAAATAATGTTATTTGTTGTTAGGCTTTGATATTTTTGTATGTCTTATTCACTGACAATTATAAACTTTGTTTCACTCTCACTACCGCAAAGCTTTCAACTTAATCCCTTTAAAGAACAGTTTAAATTAAACTGTAAGACCTATACATAGATAGATGAACGATGTCGCTTAAACTTTTTTGAAATTACTATCTTTTTTTATAGACAGAGAAAGGGGAAATTATTAGCATGAGATTTTATATGGTAACCAGAAACTTTTATTACAAATCATATATTAATCATTTCGTAGTAAGTTGAATATAATTGTAAAACCGTAGAGAGAGCTATAAGAAAATAAATGAATAATCTCTCTCTCTCTCTCTCTCCGATCCGTAGCTCATGTCTGAGCGTCGTGGTCAGCAGGGAAACATCCGGAGCGGACAATCTGTTTCCACCGGTTTCTGTTCATTGCCTCTCTACCGTTGTCTAGTACACCGATAATTAAATATTTATTTTCCACTTTATATTACCAACGATGGAACGATGTATGATACATTTAAAAAAATGTGAGCCGTCACGGGACGCCTGGCAGAAGTGAAACATCGACATTATTTTGTAAAAGTAATATGCAGAAAAGGACAGATTGTTATAGGAACTAAATATGGATGTCATAATGATAAAATAAAATATTACAATTTTTTTCCAGATAACGATGACTATTTATTGAATAAACATTAATTTTCATTAAATACAAAAATTTACGAATTTATTTCAAATCGTGACTACTTAATTCGTTTCATCAGTGACTTCGAAATACACACACCGTACACACTACTGCATATAGACTGTATCTATATACCATCATATAGCGGCATGTGTCGCCACGGCATGCGTCGCCACGCCAGAAATCGGTTTAGTGTGCGGCTATAGATGTTTCACATCAAAAATTTAAATATTAAAAACCATGCGATTTTATTTTAATGAAATAATATAATACATAGGTATTACACATAGATATCCCCTTAAATACAAAACCTTATATTTCATATAGCAAAAGCTCAAAGGTAAAATTAATATAAGAAAACAAAAATAGAGCATTTTTTCGTGTAAGTAAAGAGACATCACGCGATGTTCGTGTCAGTCTTAATCCATCATTTCATGTCATAACAAAATTGAACAACGTTACCTCCGCTTGCAATAAACTCGCTTTGTTATGAATAAATATATTATAATAAATAATCAATATCGTATTAGGTTTGATATATGTATGAGTATAATTTCATAACGAACAAAATTCTACGGCGCGCCAAACAATCCCGAGAACTCACTTTGACCATTAAAAAGAAGAAGATAAGTTATTTGGGACATATTCTTCGACACCAACGGTATCAACTTCTTCAAGTCATAGTGATGGGCAAGGTCGAGTGGAAAAGACGCGCTGGCAGAAGGAGGTAGTCGTGGCTCGGCAATATCAGAGAATGGACGGGAGTGGCCAGCGTAGAACAGCTGATGGGCTTGGCGAAGAATAAGAGGAAGAAGAGCTGACCGCCTACCTCCAGTAGTGGAGAGGCACTACAAGAAGAAAGACTCACTTTTATTTACAATATTGACTTAATTTTATGTTATAGGATCTCTTTAATAGGAACATTTAAACATATAGAATGTCAAATTAAAATAGCCTGAATTTTGCAAACTATTGCAGCTAATATCAAATTTGCTTAAATAGTTCTAAAAATAGGATCTATATATTTTCCCTGTATCAATTCAACACTCAAAGAAAGACATCTCATGAAAAATATATTAGCAAAACAACGATTAAATATGATAAAACGTGACAAAATATTGCCGCGCATTTGAAGCGAGGGATTAACCGAATATACGGGATTGGACATAATTCCTTTCTACTTTGCACTCTTGTACTTCGCAAGAATTATCACATAAAATGTTTCCCTTGTCCGTTCAGGCAAGGTAGAGAAGTAATTTATCAAATTTACGAATAGGGCCTGTGTGTCTGAAAGCTGGTTCAATATTGCTAACAGATATCTTCTAGTTACTAGAACTGCTTGGTCATTGCTACTCAAGCAAATCTATTGTACTCCAATATTTTATTTATGTTTAGTATAATAGGTTGCCTAGTACGTAGTTGCATTCTCAACCCTAAGATGGAGAGTTACGGTGGGACCAATGGATTTATTTTCCTATGTACCTAGTTAATACTTGCCCGAACGGTGTTTAAAAATCTTTTAAAGATACGGAATGTCTTAGACACTAAAAGCAACCTGGCATAGAAAACTTATCACTTACCACATACAAATTTGTAATAGTAAAGGTACAAAAACAATTGTCACACCTTGGTAGAACCAGTTTTTTGTTTGTTAAATGTCAGAAAGAACGAAAAACATTTATTATGAAAGTCAATCTCCAAAATCATTTTATGGATTTACGTTGTGAATATAATGAACTGAGTCCTTGCAGAACCGTGGCTTTGATAAAAAAACAATAATGATTTTGTTTTAAGAGCACTGCAGCTATTACGTTGCCTTCGAAGTGTTATAAACAAGAACATATAAACACCCATACGATCCCCAAATAAAAGTTCTATTTTATTTTCTGATAACCTATTTAATAGATATTGTACGAGCCTAGGCTGTACATTCTGCTCACTCAGGCTTTCTTAGTTTTATAATCGTGACGATTTCCTATGTACGTGCCATGGCTGCACATTTTGATCACTTATAAGCGTGACGATTTCCTAAATCGTCGGAGTTACGCCCGAGAGTATAGCCAGACGCAGGCACTCTTTTCGACTGTTTGTTTGCAGTCATTCGTTTGTTACTAATTAACTAAATCATGGGAGTTACGCCCCGAAAGCATAGCAAGACTTAGACTCTCTCTTTGACTGTTAAATTGCATTCATTCGTTACATAGCAATTAAAATTTCATTATTAAAATCTTCTATTTTTTAAAGCACCCCGATGACACAGAAACCGTACATTTTGGTCCTTCGAGTCGGAGATTTTTTTACGTAGTATAAAATTTAGTTGCTTGCCGCCATCCACACTGTTTGAAATAAAGCTTTCATGTATCCATGAAATAGCGGTAGTTATGACGAGTTTTATCCCAAATCGAGGGTCAGCTTGTAACCAACACCACCCTTTTTCGCAAAGGTCAGAAAGATATTCAGTTGAACGACTACAGGAAATTGCTTAAACAATTTCCCGCTTCAGAGGATATTAAGAAGTTAGTAAAAATATGGTTTTAATATTATTTTACACTGAAAACATCTTTGCCCGTCGATGCGTTTTTAACTGCAGAAATGTTTTATTAAAAATTAATTGTTGTTGTTTGTTTTAGATTTAAATAATATTCATTAGAGAATATATATTATTAAGTGTAATATTATTAAATTACAATAATTAAAAACATCATTACCTAAAAGGCTTGAATTAATAGACGTGTTTATTTTCATTATGACTTAAAAGAGAATTCAGAAAGATATCTATAGCCAGATTGTTTCTTTTTTTCTTGATATTCTCGTGTCTATAGCGTAATAGAATAGCGTCTTTGTTGCTTTGTAACAAAGCATATTATACAATACAGAAACATTGTATAAGTTTCATTTGATGGACTCTCAAAAAACGCAAATGATTGACAAACTATTCAGTAAAATTCCCTTTTAGTTGCCTATAATATATCTTAATATATATAAATTACATGTCACGTTGTTTGTCCGCTATGGACTCATAAACTACCAAACCGATATCAATCAAATTTGCACACCGTGTGCAGTTTGATCTAACTTAAAAGATAGGATAGCTTACATCTCAATTTATACCCGCAATATTATTTTATTGCAAATATTTGTTTATTATTTGATACAATTCTAACAGATGGCGCTGTGTTAGAAGTACCAACGTTTCACATAATCTATCTTCCTTTCACATAAGTTCTCCTACCGTTTCCGTTGAATAGTTTACTACTATGTAATATAACAAAAACCTTAGCCACAGCAACGCTTGGCCGGTCTGCTAGTTATATTATAAGTATACTTTAAGTAACAAGTAACGGAAATATATTTCTTCGTATAGACTCAAATAAAGCGGTTTCTAAGAACATTTTCTTTATAAATAAAAAAAATCGTGAAGTATAAATTGAATTTTATTTTAAAATGTAAATTGAAGAGGTGAGTAGCCTTTAAAATTCACATAACGTAGAAAAATAAATTAATTTTCAAGTACCCCAGAATTACGTTGACGCCAGTCTAAAAAATATAACGAAAAACTTGCTCGTACTGGAATATATTCTTATAAATCGTATCCAGTTTTCAAAGAATTTTTCTTTGAAAGCCTCAATAATAAGCCTCTTATAAGAAGAGTACTTTCTTCTTTACATTTTCGTTTATTTTGATGTTATTCTTAATGTTTATTTGGAAGTCGCAGTTGTAAGGGAACAATGGCGAGATTTCATTGCTTCTGTAAGATGTCTTTTCAAATATGAAAATGTTTGTGGTTTAACGAATTAAATATGTTGCGAGACTTGCTTAATGCCTTTGATGCATTATTACAGTTGACAATGAGTAGGGATTACGTGGACTTATTTACGGAAATATCTACACGCGCGCTATGTTACTCTAGTGACAGTCACTGCTAACACATGTGAATGAGCGTCGAAGTTATAACTGATAATTCTCGTGTCATTGTCTACATTTCAATCATAATGTATGAAAACTTTATTTTTGTTCATCGTTTATCTCCGTACTTTATAGTGACAAAACTCTATATTCCTCCATTTTGATTACAAAAATATCTGTGGAGACTAGAGAATAAAGTTATACAAGCAATTACTATGAGATGAACTGAATTTTCTTAAATACAGATTATAGTATTTCAATACCACTTTATCAGTGCTTCATTTGAGATCTCTTGATAGAGACTGTCAAAAGTTTTACAAGCAAAATATTTAACCTGATTTAACAATTCTACACATTTTGAATATTTTAACTCGAAATATTAATTACGAAACTCAATTTAGATTTATTGAATAAGTCAACTCCAAGTCTATTAAGGCGTGGAGTTGTTTTGACCACTAAACTTATCATCCATAGATTTTGCTTGCCTCATCACAGTTTGAATGTATTATCACTTTACTTTGAATGTATTATAACAGATTATCACCAAATACGTATATAACTTTTATCAGCGTGTCCAAGTTCATATACATATATAGGCGTCCATGCGTCGGGTTGTCTCTCACTCTAAAATATGGCGTGGGGGCCGATGGCTGGCCATGCGTCATACTCGTGAACGGGTGCTACTTGTGGTGACTGGTCGTACTTGAATTTGTGTATGCAGTGATGTTAGTTATTTTGACTACCTACGTATTTGCGTGTTGTCCCCACGAGAATGTATGTGCGTGCTCCTATTTCACCGTGCCTCCTGCTGATAGAGGACATATCTTTGTTTTTATTTTATTTTATTATTATTTATTACTTAAGATGTCATGTGGAACATGGTGTAATGTTTGAAGCTCCTTAGAAATATTGTGTAAAACAAAAAACTCGGCGAATAAAAAAAGAGGTGGAGAGTTTATTGCCAGTTCTTCTCTTCCGTTCTACGCCCTTGATGAGAACTGGCAGTAAATATAAAATTAGAAGCATTCCATATATTTTTATTTTTTTGATAATCATAAGTGAACATTGTGTCCTATATGAATAAATTATTTTGACTTTAAACTTTTTAATATAATTATACATTTTCTTATTAAAATTTTACAGATTTAACAACAACATACATATGAATTAATGTATTTTGTTATTTAAGTATGTCATTATCTTTTTCAGGAAATCAACTACGATTCACCCCGCGGTGGTGTCTCCGTAATTACGGAGAAGGGCGAAATGACAACTTCACACCTTTTGGTGCAGAAGGCGCGGGGTACGGATTCCGGAAGGTACACCTGTGCTCCAGCTAACGCCAACCCCAGATCAGTTCTCGTCCATGTTCTTAGTGGTAAGAATTTCACATGGTACTTCTGTAGAAACAGTTCTAGCGTACTGTCACTCAGTTAGTTCTCGGCAATCAACTTTGATAAGTTAAAGAAATTGTTATTTTTATCTTAGTTTCATTTTTGCTACCATTATATCAACCAAAATTTAACTAGGAAAAATATTTCTCTTGTTAAAATATTATTATAATTTAAGTCAAAAACAAAGTTCTTCTATTCGTTGTCAAATGCATATAAATGTTGTTTTGAAAATAGAAGAAAAAATAGTTAAAAAAATACAATTTGAAATATTATATCAGTATCTTTGTTTTCTTATAAATCAATCTCAAAATTTATTTAACATTTGTAAGATACAAAGTAAAGTTTAGCCGATTCAATAACATAACTTTCTGGATTTCATCCAAAAATGAACGAATTATTGATGTCGATTTCATTTCGACGATAAAAGCGAAACTTTACGATAGCGAAATTTTTTATAGTTTCTGTTCGAAGTAAAATTCATGCGTTTAGTTACTCTCGTAAATTGGACGAACTTAGTGACTATTTTATGTTTATATTGACAATGTTTTTTATGTATTTTATAGCGAATACAATTAAATTTTCAACTTGATTGCTAATTATCAATGGGTTAATAGTACTCTTTTAACTAAAGGTTCGTCTCTTTCTGTCAAATTGTATTTCACTGTAATAAAAAGACATAGATGAGTACTTTACTTTACTTAAATGGGCCATGGAACTGATTTAGTTTTAATGAATAATTGGATCATAGTTTTTCTAAATATCAAAATTAAATAATTTAAAAGGCAATTTTTTTGCTAAATTACAATGAAAGTTTCGCCAGGTGTTGAATGCAGGACCTCAGTTAAAAGTCTGACTTTATGACAATGAATATATATTTTTATATAAACAGAAGTTTAAGTATTCCTTTGTATCAGGAGAACACCCAGCCGCAATGCAACACGGAGGCCAGTTGCGTCTGCAGTATCCCCTTCCTGCAGCCCTCCTCAGCGTGATTGTTGCCCTCATGGGTTGCTAGTAGTAGAGTATTAGATTAAGGAACAAGCACTACTTAGAGTCGTCCATTATTATAAAGAACAATACACGGCTACGAAATTTAATGTCTGCTTGACTGACTTAAAAAGTACCTAAACTTTTTGAGCGTAAGAATTTTACCATTCATTGAATCTATTGTAATCTTATATTGGGCACCTTATAAAACGATATAGTATCGTTTCGTTACCATAGTTACATGATATAATAAGAGTGATTGTCATGATTACAAATACTTATTAAAGTACGAAGGCTAACTATAGTCCGGACTTTATAATATGGTTAATCTATAATAAGCGCCACTGATAATGAACGACTCTGAGGGCTGTTAGTCTATAAATATTAAGTTTTGTAATTACAATCAATGTTATAGTAAATGGAACAAATAACGTTGTGAATATTTGATCTGTAATTTACAGTTAAAAGTAGGTAATTTGTCGATTATTTCATATAATATCTAATTTTAACATACATTGTAAGTTTATCGTAGATATTTTGTTGAAAAAATACTGTAAAATAACAAGTAATTTTAAATACATATTAAATTAATAATAAACGGCGCATTATATGATTTCCCAATTATATATCAATATATTTATTAGTATAAAGTAAAATCTTACATCTAGAAACAATATAAAACTCACAGAATTATTACAAACTATTATTTTAAAAGCGAGAGATATAATGATATTATTTTGAATAATTTTGGAAAACATATTCCTGCGAAGTTGCGAGAGCTATCGAATATTTCATGAAATATATCATTTGCAATCAATATAAAATGTTATTAATGATTGTAAAGTCGGACGGCGAATAATCTGAAAAAGTTTTTATAGCCTATGTAAGAAAACCTTAATTGTCTTAATTATATTTAAAGAGATCATATGAGCATTGATATAAGCATAGGAAAAGTTATTCACATACTTAATTTTTTAAGGGCTTTGTGGCTAAGGTAAATCGTCCTTTATAAGATGAAAACATTAAATACAATTCTTAGCTGCGCTAGTTTATCACCCTTAGTAAACAGCAATTATGTTTCTACAGTTAAAAATGCTTGAACAAATATATCTTACTTTACTGAAAAAACCACTAACAAGCTTTTCTTAGTTTTCCTTGAAGATTTAGCACCAAGATCTCGAGAATGTTGCGTAATAAATCAATTGATAAAATCTCACGATCTTTAAAGTTGTGTATTTATTTGACTGTAGTAGAAGCTATTGTTTAAAACACACTTCGCAAATTAATATGCTCTGGTACACCAAATGAACCTCTTATATAGTAAAAGCCATATATTTATTAATATCAAAAACATGATCAATTGTAAAGTGATAGCGTGCTCAGATTTTGACATGTGTTCACTTATTTATATATTATCGAATAATTTGAGGATGCATTGACAGATAGTAACTCGACGACAGTATATCTTTTTTAAAGTTAAAGTTATGGGATAGTTGGTTGATAGTATAGTCATGAGAATTTATTTATTAAATGCTTGGGTTAAATGAATTTTTTTGAGTATTTATTTATAGCCGCACCAACCGACACAAAAGAAAAAGGTGGAGAAACAACAACAAATTTGAACCAAAGTGGCCCCCATAATAAGGGCGGGCGGGGGGACAAACATAATGCTTTTAATATAATATTATGTAATTAATAAGACCTTATAATATATATATATTCAATACAAAACTACAAAGATATAACAACAAAATGCCTCTATACAATTCACATGGCCTTAGATCAATGCATCTTTACGTCTTTATGAATAACGGATAAAGAAAGCAACAAAAGTACTCCTGGCGAATAAATAGTAATATATATTCAAATGAGTATGACTTCAATCTGGGATGTAAATATTTTTTAATTGTTTCAATAATTAATGGCAATGATATGACCATGAAAAAGGATGTCATAAGCATGCTTTACTCACCTTACCCTACAAAATGTTATACGACATACAATTAGCAATGCTTATGAAAACAAAATTTCATTTAAAATTTTTAAACCTCAAGTATTTTCACGTTCGCGTAGGCTTGCAGTGATTTTGAATTAAACAAACTTTAAAATTATTCATTATTTTAGCTTATTATTATGAGAAAAAGATTGAAGCATTGTGTGTGTAAGTTTCATTAACAGAACTCCATAATTGTAAATTAAATTGTAAACAATCAAAAGATTTCAAACGATTTCTAGTATCTACTTCGAGGAAATTTTTCTTATATATATTCTTTTAGGATTAATCTATGTTGAAAAAGGCTGTAGATATCGCTACGATAGCGTACTAGAGACTGCTACGAATTGCTACGAAGTGCTACGCCGCCTATCAAACAAAATTTATTCTAATAATTTAATTTGAGTGTCATATAATATTTATTCTAAAAAATGGTTTAAAAAACTAAACGTCTAAACGTCAAAATTCTTTAAATTTATAATTTTTTACTATATGTAATTATTAATGTTTGGTATAAAATAAATATAGTTTTGTAAATTGAATTAAAATAACTTATTTGTCTATTTGAGTCGGTTACTGTAAATTTTGTAACATTTTTCCAGTGGTTTCTTAAGAAAACGAATCAATCAATTAAATTTTGTCAATAAGCGGACGAGAATTGATGTCAAGAAGAAGTGTTGTCATAATAAATTATGGTCTAAATCGCCTAAGTTGCAACAATTTATTTTATTGTATAAGTTGAGTTTAATATAATCGGCTCCTAGATAATTTTTAATAATAAATTTTCAAGCATTTAAACTAGTATGTTAGACCATATTGGATAAATAGTTTTAGGTAAAAATAAGATTGTAATTATTCGTATTTAACTGTTTTGACGTCATAAGGTTGTGTAAATAAATTCTTAATAGAGAAAATGGTGAAAGTACTGTCATAAAACAATAGGACCATTTTTTAATATTATTTTTAAAACATAATACTTATTATAAATAGGTATTTAACAAAACAAAAAGCGATTATTGGAGACTTTCATCATTTCTTATAGATTATTATAATTGTACAATTAAAAATAAATTTAATCGTAAAACGAAGATGTTGTTTTATTTATCTTAGTCCTACAGTATCGAATGACTAGCTATAATATAAATATAGACCAACCTTTATCTAAATAGGCTATAAACTATTTATGTGTCAGTGCCAGTTATTGGCCAAATGCCGCAAATCCTGCTAGATGTCACCGTCTTGGCTGGCCGTAAAAAAAAATTCTACTCTACAGACCCTACCTTGCGATTCTGTAACTCACTTTTCGAACTCACACAGCGGTTTTCGCAGCGGCGGTCGCGCTCAAATCAGTCGTGATGCAGTCATTTTACGATTTGGCATTCTGATAAGGGGGAGCTTGTAGTTTATTGTTAATAAATGCCAAAGCATAATCAAGGATACGTGATAATACAGCATAATATAGTAAAATTAAAGTTACTTTAATTGTCTTTGGTATTTCTGTATGTTTGATATTATGTTCTCAATACATTTAATAACTAATTACAATGGTTGGTATCGTCATATAATTGGTAAAGACACAAATATGGCGAAAATTATTTATTTCTATATATGAGAAGCGTTAATTCATTAAACTAGGTCCATCGCAAGTGCTTACTAATTAGAAGGTTATTGTGACCAACAATATTTGATAACAAGATGAAAAGATTACGAAGAATATTGAAACAACAATTTGTATGTTTACCGCTGACTACTTCACGCTGGTTCGGTATCTATATTAATACAAAGAAACGATTTAATTAAACGAAAACGGAATGGGAGATAATGTTAATATGTATGTATATTAAGCATGGACTATCAATTATTTATTTACCTATCACTACAGCAAACTACTAATTCAATAGCAAAAAACTTAAGCATAATTCAAACAGGAAGAAAAGTAACTTAAACCTTTTCATAACTGTCCAGCGATAACAAGCGCCCATTCCCCGGTTACTCTCGCTGCTCAATGGGTTTCTCGACTCTTCATCGGAGAGCGACCTATTTGGAAAGCTTATGGGGGAGTATACTGTGATTTCAGAGTATACCTGGAGGGGATAAGAGGATAGCATTTACCGTCAATTTTGTAAATCTAAATGTATTTTATTGTTTGGCCATTGGGCTGTAAATAAACGGACTCTTTGGACTCTATGGACTCTTTTGTATTCTATTAAGCTAAACATATCGTATGACACGGACGATTAAACACACTCGCTAGAGTACATAAAAAAGCCATAGCACCAGTACTATTCCATGGTGGCTGTTAATTACGAGAATAATTTATTAATTTAGGTTTGAAGACTTGAAATCCAGAGCAGTATTTATTGTAACAAAAGGCACATTGACGTTTATTTTATAAAGAAGTTTAATTTACATAACTATAAAGAAATATTCAAGAAAAAGCAATATTATACCCAGACAGTGATATCGTGAACTTATTTGAACCACAACGTCTTGCAGTACGTAGTAGCTATACCTCTCTTATGTCAAAATTATAAACGTTTTTGATATACAAGAGCTGTATCTGTATGTTTTTTTTATGATTTGACAATTCACACCAATTGACTTAGTCCATGTAACTGGTGAACGTTATGGAACATATACATACATATTTAATAGTAGACACTAAATAATATTTAACACCAAGACCAACACAACACCAAATTCATAACATCATGTTTGTCTCACCGGGACAACCGGGACCCAGGTCGCAGTCAATACTAACCACAGCCACAGTAGCGAACTATTTATAAATAAGAAACACAATTTTATGTTCACCTCCTACAACACCTTTTAACTATAACCAACTTATACGCGGAAACTATTTAAGCCCTGATTCTTACAATAACTCTTTGAAGTTAAACCGCTGTGAAGTTGGTAGTATTGAATGAAACGGAGTTGGAACTAAGTTTAAACCAGATTCAAACTTTCGCAAAGTGAACGAGATGAAACTTACTAAATATTTCCATGCTGCAATTGATAAACGCTCGAATAGACAA